TATGTAAAATCAATGGCTATGCTTTACTATGAAAAGTAAAGTGTAAGAAATCCTGTTTGATTTTTGAGAAGTGAAGCAAATGCACATGTATGAGCAGCACATGTAATGAACAAAGAAATTCGCTCCCAATAGCTACATCATATTACGTCTGTACACATTGAAAGTGTCAGAAAATCGATGTCTGATGTACTGATAAGTATCCTAAGTCTTATGAAAAAACTCTCGCAATCGAATTAGGAAGCGATTGCATATTTCCAGAAGTGATATATTTTAATCCCTTATAATTTCATATAACCATGTCCGTTGTGAAATAGTTGTTTGGACCTCCATGGTCTACTGCCTAGCGTAGCGAGGAGAGGCGTGGGAGGGGGGTGGAGGGGAGAGGGGGACGCTATGACAGAAGAAAACCGCCACCGCTTTTCGAAGGTACAATATCTGGACGCAAATTAAAGGCAGGTCCGACCAGAATAGGGGTTGTGGGATTTGTTTTGCAAGGCAAGGTAAGCCTCTAACTCGGCCCTCCCCCAAGGCAGCGTCACGCTGTGACCGCGGAAGCAAGAATAGGGTTCAGACCATTTCCTAGAAAGGTTCGGTCAAAGGTAGCGTCAGGCAAGATCCATGCTTCCAGTTCACTATGTAGGACCTAAAAGAGAAACATCGGCGTTTTCAGTCGATCAAATGGGACCACATAAGATCATTGAAAGGGAAAATGGACCTACAATTCACGGAAGTGCATCAAGGCCGCTGAACCAAGGATTGCTCTTTAAGGGTTGAAGGCCTCCGGCAATATATCTAAAGAGCTTTTGCTTACAACTCACACTTACATCTTCCACTTTTTCGCCTCGCTTTTTAGCTGGATTACTCTTCTAGCGATTTTGAAAATGCAGCTTGAAGAGCACGAAAATGTTTAAATTGGCTATTCCAGCCATGATTTTGAATTTAGACGCATGCAGCCAAGGACATGGACAGCTCATGGTTAGAGTGAGCGATGTGCATCGCGCCCGCCCACAACAGGCGTTCATGTCGCTTCTGGAGCGGTTTTCTTGCTTCAGAAGGAAGTTGGTGCAATCGCACTAGGGCAAAAGCTTTTCAACATGGACGCTATTGCACTGTTTTTCCTCGTTATCGTCGCAAAGCGGAGTTGCCTTTGAGGCATACCTTCAGCGATCCATTCGTCAGAATATTTGATTGCTGCGAACAAGACATTCATAGAGAACCAGTGGCGGACCGAAGGGGGGAGGGGGCGCCCTCCCCCTTCCT